TCTCTCTCTCTCTCTCTCTCTCTCTCTCTCTGTTTTCTTTTTTCTTTTTCTCCTTTTAGACACGATGAGCGAGAGAAAGATGCAATTTTTTTGATAGGCTCTTATACACGAAAGAACTGTTGTCAGATATTTACAAAATAATACAAAAGTCGTTAATCGAAAGATCTCGACGCGAGATTGTAAATGTTATCAAAAGATTTACGCTCGTTTTCGACGATAGTGCAAGGATGCAGTACTACCGTAAACAAATACAATATCGAAAATATTACGCAAATTGTACAGAGTGCATGAACACTGTGTATGACAAACTGTACGTGAATATATAGTTCAGTGTAATAAAATATGGCAAAATGTACTCGTACTTAGCTTTTAACGCGCCTATCGCGAAGGATCAATTAAACTTATCAAAGTTTGCAGTCGTTTGCTTTCGCGACACACCGTATATAAACTTCTAAAAAATTTCACTCTATAGATTATACACTTTCCTCCCTCTTCGTGATCTCGAATTTACATTAACGAATTCTATATAAGATCGTCCCGTATTTCGGTGATGATCTAATTTTTGAACGATATGACAAAAACGTATATCTCTAGATCATTTTCTTTTTTTTTCTTTTTTTTTTTTTTGTATCCACAAGCGCCCCTTTGGCCTTCCTACTGGCGTTCTTTTCATTCGAAAATATTGCCCACCGTCTCTTCGATCGCTTTGTACGTTTTTTAAAAGTCTTATTCTCTGTATATATATTGTACATATATAACCGTTTTTTTTTTTTTTTTTTTTTCTCTTTTTGTTTTCTTCTTTTGCGTGTTCTTCTCACCGGTGATAGTTTATGTTCATCATGGATTGGAGGTATCTATCGCGTCATTTGAATATCGAAATCACCCTGTCGCTTGCGCCATCTTCGTTTTCAATTCAATTAATCTGGAATCAACGCGTAGGGGACACGGTTCTAAATTAACACACGCGAATCGTCGTTAATCGTCGAATTTTCATCGTTTGAATCGCGAAAGAAAATCAATCGAACTTTCTCGTTTCTCTTCTTCTCGCGAAGAAGCTGCCACCTCGCGAGCTTGCGGCTGGCTGGAAATTTGAAAATGACGCGACAAATATTCGCCCGGCGTACATCTCGGTATCGGGAAGCGATTTGAATTATTTCAGGCCAATTTTCCTCGCCTTCTCACCTCCTCTACGTCCTCTGCTTTCATTAGGTTTAAGTAAAGGGTTCGAAAGGGCGGATATACATTCTCGTCTTAGCGAAGAGCGAATTAATTAGGCCGAACACAATGAACATTCATGAAGAGTAGTTATCAAAGTTACTGTTTACTGCGTTGCTGCTGCGTTACGCGCCACTATGTACAAAATTTATACAATGTATAAAAATCGTTTTCGCGGTGGCTCGGTGGCTGCCACCACCACCGCCATCTTCTTTTCCCTTCCCGTTTCACGTTCGTTCGCCTCTCTTCCTCTGTTCATGAACTGCGCGGCGTTTGAAAGAGAGACGAATTCACGCGAACGGCACGTGGGCACAATTTCAGAAGAATCGAATCACCTAAAATATATATACATTCTATTCGCAGTACCTGAATCAAAAGTCACGAGCGAAGGATCGACTCGACTGGTCAGTCGTTGAAAGCTTCAACTAAACGTAAATCTTTCTACAAGATCATCACGGACGAGTGCTGGCCAAGCTAATACGAACGATTCTCGGTTTTTTTCATTTCGAGTAGATTGGAACGTGTGCTTTTTTTCAATTCCTACCTTGAGCGTCCATCTGACGATTCGTATATTTTCGTACAAAGATCATTTGCTTCAACCAAGTATGCACTTACATCACCTCGACACTCACAGCGAAGGGATGAATAATGGATCGAACGCAGAATTTCGCGTTCAGCCGAAATCTGATCGTACAGCTTTCGTTTCGTTTGTAGTTTATGCATCTCACGAAGATAACACAACGAGTTCTGCCTTCTATCGACGATATATGTATCGTTGACTAACGAAGTTTGCCTGAACGAATAATTTTTCGC